AGATTATGCTATGAGTGTGAGTGAAGAAAAAAAAAAATGAAATTAAAAAATTAAAATTTATGTGGTGTGTGAAATTAAAAATTAAAAAAAAAAAAAAATAAAAATTTAATGGGGGGTTTCTGAATTAGTTTTATAAAAATTTTTTTTTAATTAAATTAAAATTTTTTAAGATTAGTGTTTATACACAACCTAAATTTTTTTCTTTATTTGTTCAATAGATGTCATCATTGTTTTTAATTAATAAAAAAGACAATTTTGTAATTCAGAAAAAAAAAATAAAAAAATTTGATAATCAAATTTAGCAATTTTATAATAAAAAAAAAAAAATATTTAATAAAAAAAAAAAAATTTATTTATTTGTATATTTTTAATGTTATTAAAATAGAACTATTTATTTATTTAATTTTTTGTTGTTAAATTAATATTTTATTCAAGACTGCTGGTGATGTTATTGAAATATTATGATTATCTTCAGTTTTTATCGTTATCACAGTAGGGGAATAATACCTGATTTAATTACTCTCTTATTTTATTTTCATATATGCTGTCTTTGGGTGTAGTCTGTAATTCTTTCAAAAGTATACCCCAATTTTTAGCAAATATCAATAGGTTATGGAAATTTTTAAAAATATATTTATTTTTAAAAATCGATATTTTTTAAAAAAAAAAAAAATTTTTATTTTTTTTTTTATTTTTTTTTTTTATTTTATTTTTTTCGATCACAACTTACAAACAAACACATAAATAATTTTAATAATGTAAACTATACCACATCTAATAAATAATAATAATAATAATTATAACATTACTGAAATATGTTTTAAACTTTTCAAGAATAAGTAAGTAAATCAATATATTATTTTAAAACAATAACAACAGCAACAAACCCTTATATATATATAGAAAATGGCATCGTTGTAGAAATAGAAACAGAATTGCTTCAATCTTATCAACCATTTATATGAATCTCAATACATTTGCCTTAGCCCAAGCAGATTGCAACATACTCTCAAAATAAATAAATCAAACTAACAACCACAACTTAATAATGTAGATGGTGTCCTAATATCTAAAAGTGAATATTAGAATATGGCCCTACTGGAAAAACTCTTCAGATTCATTAGAGGACTCTTCAAAGAGGTTCATCAGATAGCAAATCATCATCAGCTAGTAGTTCATCATCAGCTAGAAGTTCATAGCCATTAGAAAATAAACTGCTTTCAGACAAATTAGAAAACAAAATGAACATACCAAGAAATACAAAGTAGGTGATCATATAATAACACACCCACAACAGCAACAAAAACAACCAGAATCAATAGCAAGACAATACTCATATAAACGTAGTGCACTAAGACTACCTAAAAAAAAAATTGTATGTATTTATTTCAACGAAATTGACCCTAATTTAATTTGAGAATGTGGATGCAATTGTTTAAAAAAGAAGAGAGAGACTTTTAGAACAATTAGAATTAAATTACTTTATAATTATTTTTTTTTATTAAAATTAATCATTAAATAATCTAATATTATTTCTTTAAATTTAGTTGTATAAATCATATTAATAATCAATTTAATTAATTTTTTTTTTATTTTTTAAAAATCATTTTTTACAATTAAAAAGTTTTTTTAATGTTTTTGGTATCATTTAAAAGAGAATTAAATAAAAAATCGAAATCAAATTAAAAAATTGATCAATAATATATATAAAAAAAAGATATAAACTAAATTATTACTTTACAATTATTTTTTTTAAATTAAAAAAAAAATTATAATTTTCAAAACAGTTCTATCTTTTTCATAAATAAATTTTTTTGGATTTATTTTTTATATTTTATTATTTTAATTTTTTTATTATTATTTTATTCACATACAAATAATAATTTAGCTTTATTTACAATATTCAACAATAATAATTTTTTTTCTTTATAAATTTAATAATATAATATATAAAATAAATTTATTTTTCAAAATATTCATTATTATATATTAAAATAAAAATGGATTTTGAATTTAGTAATATTGTTATTTATACTTTAGAAGTTTTTTTTCTTTATTGTATTATTAGTAAAGTACAATAAAATAAGAAAACATTTAAACACAAACCAAATTACCATCATATTATATAATAATAATAATAATAATAATAATAATAATAATAATAATAATAATAATAATAATAATAATAATAATAATAATAATAGAGATAATAAAATTAATTATTATGATTTACCAAATATATTGGGTGAATATTTATATTTAATTTTCAGATTTTTATTAGTTATTATTTTATTTTCTTCAGTTTATTTTTCATTTAATATAGTATTAAATGACGTAGAAATTAAATATAACCATCTCTCTTCAGGTATTTATAATTTATAATTTTAAATCAACACATTTCTTTAAACTAATTCCAATATTATTTTTTTAAAAATTCAAAAAGAAGAAGAGAAATGTAAAGTATGGGAGCTTTGTATGGATATAGATCCTTCAAAGCCACTTAAGTAAGTGTTTAAATCATTTTATATATATACATTTTTTGATTACTAATTCTTTTAAATATAGATTAAAAATTTTAGCAGAAGTTTTAGATAACTTCCTTTCAAGTTTGTCATATACAGCTATGGCATGTTTAACTTTTATCGTTTGGATGATGTTTTGGATTCCTAGAAAATTTTTTGGTAACAGTAGAAGCTATCCAAATCCAAATCATCACCACCAACTTGAAACACAAACTCAGCCAATCTTTGTCAATGTAATTATTATAAAAGCAACAATATATATTTACAAAAACTAACCTATTATTTGTGTTTTTTAACTTTAGGATTTGGTAAATTTGGAAAAAGATTTCAAGGAACTTAGATTACTATAATATTAAAAAAAAAAAAAAAAAAAAAAAAAAAAAAAAAAATAATAATAGATTATAGGATCCAAAAAATAAGTTAAGAAAATAACCATAATAATAATCTTTAAGATATTACTAAAAAGGTAAAATAATAAAAAGTATTCAGCATTATAAATCAAGTCAATCTAATATTAGATTAACATGTTATCTATCCAATTTTCTCTGGCCAAGTAAATATGGTAGACCATCGAATAATATTAGATGAAGAAAAATTTTAGTAGTCCTTTTTAAAGTTTGGTATTAAAAGCAAAATCTAGGAAATTAAACCATCTGACGAACAACCATGATCAATTGTTTATTTATTTCAAATAAATTATTATTGGGTTATTATTTCATTAGAAACAGAACACAAAATTATTTTCGACTCCATCAGACCAATCGAAAATATTTTCAGTATTAAGATACTTATACATCATAAAGTTTTTAAATAAAAATATAAATATAAAATTTTTATATTTTTATAAATAATTTATTTATTTTATTTTTTACAATAAATATAAAATTTTATTTTTTATAACAATTTATTTTATTTTTACCATTTTCCTTTTATTACCAAATGATTTTTCATGATAAGTTGGTATTAATTTAATTTGTTTACAATTGATAAATAATATTCGAAAATATATTATTATTTGATCACCTATTTTGTATTTCTTGGTATGTTCGTTTTGTTTTCTAGGTTGTCTCTGAAAGAAGTTTATATCGTTTACTCATTTCTTTAATGATTTGTGAATTGCGGTGAGTAAGCAGTTTATAGAGAAGTGGGTTCATAACCCTGGTTTGCGAAAAATGGAGTGATTTAGTTGTGCTTAATACAGAATGGCCATTTGTTTGGATATGAACCGGTGTTGAAAATTTAATTTGGTACCAAAATCTTTCATTTAACCTTTGTTAATAGTTTTTAATGGGGACTGTCTTTGGTTTAGCACAATATTGATTTTTAACTATTAATTACAGTGCCCGGATTATATATGTAGACCCCTAAGTTTATTTTTTTTTGCTTGCATCGCATCAGGTTTCAGTGGTATCTCCTTCATTAGATGATTACTAATTGATACAATTTTAGCTGTATAATTGTAAACTGGGGAAGTATTTGATGGTAATGATGAAATATGAACTCTGAATTGGTAACCATGTAATTTAATTTCTTATTTGAATATCAGCTCCTCCATCTCTTCTGCATTTACTATTATTGTACATCAAATGTATACGGTTCATTTTGCATATAATATTCTCCTGGTGATATTTTTATGATGGTGGTGGTGGAAGTGTTATATTACCATTATTAATTAAAAAGCTATTACTGTTTTTATTGCTGCAACCGCTACTACCGCTACTCCCATTGATATCATTACTATTACAACTGCTTATACTACTACAACTTGGGCTTCGGGCTAAACTGATACTATTATTATTTAGATTGCTATATTCACTAATACTACTATTTATAGTTACTATTACTATTTTTTAAACTGAATGTTGTAGGTTCTGGTACTGCTGTTGTTGTATTGTTGTTACTATTACTATTTTTTAAACTGAATGCTAATGCTACTGTTGTTGTATAATTATTACTATTACTATTGTTTAAACTGAATGATGATGATGAAGCTGCTGTTGTGTTATTATTGTTATTTTTATTATTGATATTGATATTATATGGTTCTATGATATTTACTCGATATTTTAAAAGTAATTCTAATGATTTAATCGATGATATTGAAAAACTTTTTTTATTAATTGTGTAGTTTGGTAAAAATGTTGGTACATTTTATTGATAGGAAATACTCCAATGCTTCTATATTATCTAAATAGTATGCACATTCTACTAAATCAAACATGTGTAGCTGTTCTTTTTTCTTTTCTGTATAGTAAGCTAATTAAATTTACATCTCTATTAGTCTCTAAAAAAAGCTTTATATCTCTAGATTTTATTAATATATATTCATCTGCCTGTATTATAATTAATAATTTAAAGTGTTATTTCATATGTTTACTTTATAACAATAATCAATTAGTCTAAATGTTATTACCACTTTTAATTTAATTTCTAATAAAATCCATATTTTCTTTTTACCATAAAGCCCAATGATCTTATGTTTTAATTTAATTCTATTAAAGTAGAATTGGTTTATTGTGGTTGCAGCTGCGGTTGGGAATGTTGGATGAATCTATTGTAATGTTTTTTTCTGCAATATCAATTATTTTATTTTGTAAATAAATAGGTATGGTATCATTTAAATATGTGTATAAACTTACTTTTTGATTCAGCAACTCTTAACTGATATGCAGAAGGTAATGCAAAACTTTTGTGTAAACATTACTTCCAAAGAATCTTATGAAATTGTAAAACTAACATTACATGTGTAATTATACCTTAACTGATGTGTCTTTGTATTTGACTTAAAATATTGTTTTTCCATTTGAAAAAAATAAATTTATCATTACTATATTATTTCTTGCTATTATATATATTATATGGTACATTCAGCAATGATGGTCTGTAAATTTATAAAAAAAAATTCAAAAAATTCAAATTAATTTTTTTTTTTTTTTTTTTATTTTTTTTC